TTAGGTGTACCTCTTCGGGCTCTTGGATACCTTTTTCTCGTCAGATGTGTGCGTGTTCTTTAGATCCTCAGATGGCTCTAGCACTTTCGTGACCACGGGCTGAGAACAGACTTGCGGGAAAAATGGGAACGTACCCAAAAATGAGAATTGGCGTTTTTCTTCAGAACCATCGGGTGTATCACAGAACCAAAATTATCCTGCGAAACCCCTTCGCCCCAGCTGTGAGATGAGCTCATCAGAACCGCCATGCTCCACATCACGCCTTCTCACGGGCGCAAAAAGCGATTCGTGCTGGTTTCGACCTGATTTCTCGCGATGCTGGCTACCTCGGCGATGCCGGGAGCCAATGCAGAATGTCGTATCCCCCGCAATGACACAACAGCATTCGGCACTGCTCCTCATGTGCAAGATATCGTGTGTATAGTAGGTGATAAACACAGAGCCGTCTCAGTACCGTAGTCGGGAGGTGGACTGGGCCGGCAATCTGACGAGTTGGTCGACAACATGCGTCCCCCGTCATAGGTTGCTAATTAGGTGCTGGCGATTGCAAACATGCCACCTCTAACACTCGCATGACCTGCAAAACTTATCTGCGCGTCGCTCCGAAACCCCACAGCACTGCGATCGCCACGCAACGGCGCTATAGCTGTGGAAGTTCGCGTTGCCGTGGCGTTGAGGATCCTGGCTGGCGCCAGTTACTGGGATGTCCTGCTCATGTTTGGTTTGTCGGTGGCGGTCACATACCAGATCTTGTGGGAGGTGATCGATGCCATCAACAACACGCCTGCCTGCGGTTGGGGCATTTGACTTCCCCCTGACCGAGGAAGGATGCATGCGAAACGCCAACAGATTCAAGGTGAGGCCTAGCGGTGGTCAGTACTGCTGCTGTGAGGGTTATTCTTGGCGGCATTCTTTCGACCAACCGCGCGAAATCGTTCATTCGTGTTTTGTACGGCTGGCGTCTCCAGCCGTTTTATTCGTTTAGTGAGGCCTATCTATGATACGCAGCCCCCGTCGGTAAAATGCGGGTACAAGTTGTCGTCGTTGTCAGCATGCTTCGAATCGAAAAACACCCCCCAGGTCCCATGTGGTTCGCCAGCTTTTGGCGTCCGTTTTCAAATAGATGTTACTATACTGCCATCAATTGTGTATGCTGGCCATGTTGGTTTGGCCCCGCAACAGCTTTCAGCGAGAAAAGAGTGTGGAATCAATGTAGACTACTGTAGTCCCCTTCGTGTCTCTAAGATGCCCTGGTACCTTTTTACCGCTGTACCTGACGCAACATGGGGATTAGCAAACAACATCAAGTCTCAGCTTACACGGTATGCGCACCGTTCTTTACTAGTGATGGCGCCGTCGCCGATGACACCAACCCACACAACGTATCTCTCGACTTATTGTTTTGTATCTCCCGGTACTACTTTCCCGCCGTCGTGTCTGCCGTCTACAAATGCAGGACAAGAGCACCGATGGCGTTTTCTCGTGGGTCGTCGCCGCCGTGGATGGTCTGTTCATCAAGGCCAAGGCTCCGTGTGCGAAAGAGACCAAAAACGNCGCTCCGTGTGCGAAAGAGACCAAAAACGTCATCACGTACTACTCTGGCAGCAAGTCCGCGTACGGCATCAACGTGCAAGCGATGTGCACCGTCAACTACCGGTTTTGCGCAATGCCGGCGATTTCTCCAGGGTCGACGAACGACTGGGTGGCATGGAATCGATCTTCCCTCGCCAAGGCCGTCGCCCGCTTGCCCGCCGGATTTCACATCATTGGTGACGCCGCCTACCCCATCGGAGAAAAGCTTCTGACTCCGTACCCTGGGAGGCAACTGCCGGCGGGCGAGGACTCGTTCAACTTCCACCTGAGCCAGCTTCGTGTCAAGATCGAGCAGAGCTTCGGCATCCTGGTTTCGACTTGGGGCATTCTGTGGACACCTCTCCGCATGCAGCTCGGAGGACGCGGGGATCTCATCACAGCTCTTCTTCATCTGCACAACTTCCTGCAAGACGAGAAGGTAGCGCCGATCCAGCTTTCAGAGGAGGACTCCCGCAGCGGACTCAACCGGCCGGCCCTCTGTGCTACCCAGCGCACCTTGCCGGATGGCTGGGGAACGGAGCCGGCTCCTTCGAGGAGCGGTGAGACCCCGGCCCGAGCGGCTATCCGCAAGGCCCTGGAGTTGAAGAAGCAGCGGAGGCCGGACTACAACCTCCAGAGGAATTCGTAAGGACGTATCCAGCTCTGGCGGCATCGCGTGGCGGGCGCACGAGGGGGGAGTGGGGACGGGTCTACAT